GATTGTTCTCTCCAAGGAGTGTATCTACTTGAGGTAAATGTTCAACTTATATGCCTGTCTTTTGTTTGGCTGGAAACCACAGGTGTGGGTTCAATCCCTGCCCTTAGATTCTTAAAAGAGACTGACATATCTGTCTTCTCTGTATGGTTCATATACATTTTTTCTTGAAAGTGGAGAAATGAATTTCTAAAAGCACTGTGATTTTTTAATAAAAGAAAAACATATAAATTCTATACCAGTAGCAAGAAAAGCAGGGGACCTATTCCTATAGTTTGAAATAATGTGGGAGTTGCACAATGAGGCATAGTAGGAATTATCCCTTACACAGTGAACCAATGGAAGGCTTAACTTTGAGTCTACCAGAAACTGTCTTATACCACATAAGTCACCAGAATTAATGAAAAGTTCTCAACCTTTTAAATACAAGAGATAGAATTGTTGTGTTCTGGCCAGTGCCAGCTTGCTCTTTAATCAAATACCAAACCTGTTCCCCTTGAGAAATCTGGTGATGGATTATTGATAGCCTGGCTCCCCATGGGTTTTTGGATTTGGGAAAGCCATTAAGTAGTGACTCTTGAGGTTGGCCTGAAGTTGTGATGAATAGGAAGATAGCCTCCTAATTCTTGTGTTTTTTCAGGAATTAACACAGAGGCATGTTCAGGGTGTTAGAGTGGATATCCACAACTTAAGATTTCTTGTCTCACTTCCTCTTTCCCACAGTCTATCAAGCACTTATTAAGTGCCAAGTGTGTTCAAGGCACAACCCTATTCCAATAACCCGTTGTGCCACCACGACTTCCTTGAATACATTTAGTTATGCTATTTTTTTTATTGTGTTAGTTAATTGTATTATTGTTCTTTTTTTAAAGCCACCATTGGCACCTGGAACTGTTTTGTATGAAGCAGAGCTATCACAGTTTGCTGAAGACATAAAGAAATGGAAGGACAGATATGTTGTAGTTAAAAATGATTTTGCTGTGGAGAGCTATGAGAACAAAGAGGTAAGACATTTCCTTGTTACCATGGTTCTTACACTCTTCTTAAACATTGGCTAGGTTGATTGGTTCATTCAATAAGTATTGATTCATTCAGATATTCATTTCCATTAAAAAATATTTGTTGAACACCTATTATATGCCAAGTGTTCTACTAAATTCTAGGTATATAGCAGTAGATCAGACAAATACTTGCAGTCTAGTGGGCAAGATAAATTTTGAGCAAGTAATTGAAAGTGAGGGTGAAAATGGAAGATTGTACAGAGTGACCAGTGTTTAGGGCAGGACCCTTTCCAAAGATCGTTTAGACTCGAGGTCTTTGTTAGTCATTGCCCTGATACTTCTCACTGTCTACTTTGTAAACCTCATGTCTTCACACTTGTACATGGCAGGTAGCTGAGGAGTTATTGCGTAAGGTTGTTATTAAATTTTCCTTGGTTACTATGAAATCAGACATTTTATAAACTTTTATTCTACTTACCTTTATGGATTTTATTTTATCTTATAAATTTTTATGGTAAAATATGTATAACAGAACATTTACAGTTTTAACCATTTTTAAGTGTACATTTCAGTGACATTGATGACATTCATCATGTTGTACAGTCATCACCACTCTCCATTTTCAAATGTTTTTCATCACCTTAAACAGAAACTGAATACTCCTTAAATAATAATTTCCCATTTCTCTGTTCCCATGACCCCTAGTAACCACTAATAAACTTTTGTCTCTGTGCATTAGCCTATTCTAGATATTTCATATAAGTGGGATCATATATTTCTCCTCTTGTTTCTGACGTATTTCACTTAGCATGGTATTTTCTTTTTTTAAAATTTTTATTATGATTTAGGTGCAAATTTACAAAGCAGATTCATTCTAAACAGTTCATGTGTATTTGGTTTCATGGCCATGATAACAATCCCAACAATAGAAAGCTCTCCTCCCCTCTCCTCCCTGTGACTACCCCTCCCCTGTGTCTTTCCTATTATGCATACCTGTCTGTCTAGCTTTCTCTCTGTGTAAATGCTGTCCTTCTGATCTCTCTAGGTTGATTGATCTAAAGGGTGCATCTCCCTGGGGTAGGTGTTCTGCTTATAGGTCTTTCTACTGTTTGGCTGAGATCAAAATCCTCAGAAGTAAGTCCAGTTCCAAGCCTGAAGGATAACCTGGGGCCATAGTCTTGGGGGATCTACCAGTCTGTATCTAATCAGTAATTCTGTTCATTTTTGTGTTTTTGAATTTTGTTCTTCATTTTTCCTCCCATTCTATCCAGAATCTCCAATTTTTATCCTTTTCCAAGTGGTTGACATTGGTAGCTGGACACCATCTACTTCTTCTGGTCTCAGGATCCTGAAGGCTGAGGTTCCTGTAGTCCATCAGACAGTGTTTCCATATGAAACACTTTGCTCCAGATGAAGAGAAAGCAATAGTTGCATCTTAGATGGTTGCTTGAAAGCTTTTAAGACCCAAGTCACTATTCACCAAAAATAAGATGTAGAACAAGATTTTTATGTTTGTTGTTGCTGACTCATAGCAACCTTATGTACAACGGAACAAAACACCGCTTGGTCCTGTGCATCCCTACTATATCTCAGCCCATGGCTGCAGCCACTATGTCAATCCATCTTGTTGAGGGCCTTTCCCTTTTTCATTGACCCTCCAGTTTACCAAGCATGGCATCCTTCTTCAGAGAGTGGTCCCTTCTGACAACATGACCAAAGTAGGTGACATGAAGTCTGACTATTCTTACTTCCAAGGAACACTCTGGCTGCACTTATTCCAGGACAGATTTGTTGGTTATTCTAGCAATCCATGGCACTTTCAGCATTCTTTGCCAACACCACAACTCAAAACCATCAACTCTTTTTTTTTTTTTTTTAATTTTGATTTGGATGAAGATTTACAGAGCAAATCCACTTTCCATACAGCAGTTCACATATACTTTGTCGCATATCATTGACCACAGTTTACCACAATGCAACAGCTCCCCTCCCACTTCCTCCCCATAGTTACCTCTTCCTAGTGTCCATCTCTCCATACTCTCCTGCCCCTTGAGCTGTCTCCCTGTGCATAAGCAGCCCTTCCTTCTCCCATGATTGTTCCCTCCAGGGCGTGTGTCTACTTGAGGTAAATATTTAACTCACATGCCTGTACTTTGTTTGGCTGGAAACCACAGGTGTGGGTTCAGTTCCAGACCTGAAGGGCAGCTAGGGGCCATAGTCTCAGTGGTTCCACCAGGCTCTATTGGACCAGCAAACCTGGTCCCCACCTTTCTTCTTTTTTTTTTTTTTGCCTCCAAATGATTTTGAGTTTTGTTCCACATTGTTCTCCCTCTCTATGCAGGATCTCCTACATCCCTTCCAAGTGGATGACAGTGGTAGCTGGGCACCATCTAGTTCTTCTGGTCTCATAGTTGTATAGGTTGCAGATCGGATGGTGTACCAGTCGCTAGGACTGATTGTTTCCATTAACTTTGGTTTTCTTCTTTCTTCTTGACGAGGAGCGACCCATCATTGCATCTAGATGGCAGCTTGCTAGCTTTTAAGATCCCAGTCGCTACTCACCAAAGTAGGAGGTGGAACAATGTTTTGTATAGTATGTTATGCCAATTAAGCTTGATGTCCCCTGCGACTATGGTCCCAAGCCTGCAGGATCAACTACTCGGTCGCTCTGGATAGCTGGCTGTGACCAATCAGTGACCACAACCTTGCCCCTTGTCAGCTCTACTATACACCTGGGAATTCTGATCATTCACATAAACTTCTAGGACCATTGTCTGCCAACCCTATATATGATCTTGGATACACTCCCCATTTCATAGACATACCTTTAGCTTGTCCACCTATCTATCCGTCCCTATACCCATGTTTGCCTTCACTTACAACTCAGTACTATATATGCAAAAGGGTTCATATTTGTTGTCTGTATTTCCCATGTACCTCTCTATGTCTTTCTCATCCTCAATGCTGCCATATTGGTCACTCACATTTGGTACATTGCCCTTCTCTTCACCCAAATCAATATTTATCTCTATCTACCTAACAGCATTCCTTCCCCTTCCCTCCCACCCCTGGTAACCAATAAAGAAAATTTCCTTCAATAGATAACCCTTTCCTTAACTTTTACAATAATGGACTAATACAATATTTGTCCTTTTGTGATTGACTTATTTCACTGAGCATAACATCCTCCAACTTCATCCACGTTAAAAAGCATCAACTATTTTTCAGTCTTCCTTATTCATATGCATATGAGGTGATTGAAAATATCATGGCTTGGGTTAGGTGCACCTTAGTCTTGAAAAAGACATCTTTGGTCTTCAGCACTTGAAAGAGGTCTTTTACAGCAGATTTGCCCAATGCAATACATCTTTTGATGTCTTGACTGTTGCTTCCATTGGTGTTGATTGTAGAACCAAGCAATATGAATTCTTTGACGACTTCAATCTTTTCTCCATTTATCATGATGCTGCTTATTGGTTCAGTTGTGAGGATTTTTGTTTTCTTCATATTGAGGTGTATTCCATGCTGCAGACTGTAGTTTTTAATCTTCATCAGTTAGTGCTCCAAGTCATTCCCACTTTCAGCAAGCAAAGTTGTGTCGTCTGCATATCTCAGGTTGTTAATGAGCCTTCCTGCAATCCTGATGTCACATTCTTCTTCATATAGTCCAGCTTCTCAGATTATTTGTTCAGCATTCAGATTGAGTAAGTGAAAGGGATACAACCCCGACACACTCCTTTCCTGATTTGAAACCATGAAGCATCCCCTTGTTCTGTTTGAACAATAGCCTCCTGGTCTATGTACAGGTTCCTTATGAGTACAATTAAGTGTTCTGGAATTCTTCTCTATGTTATCCACAGTTTGTTATGATCCACACAATTGAATGCCTCTGCATAGTCAATAAAACACAAGTCAACATTTTTCTGGTATTCTTTGCTTTGAGCCAAAATCCATCTGACATCAGCTGTGATATCCCTCTTTCCACAGGACAGATTTGTTAGTTCTTTTAGCAATCCATGGTACTTTCAGCATTCTTTGCCAACACTACAACTCAAAAGCTTCTTCAGTCTTCCTTATTCATTATACAGCTCTCATATGCATATGATTCTTCTGCTGCAGCCATTTTTGAATGATCTTCAGTAAGGTTTTAATTGCATGTGATATTAATTATATTGTTTGATAATTTCTACACTCTGTGGGATCACCTTTTTTGGAATGGGTACAAATATAGATCTCTTCCAGTCAGTTGGCCAGGTAGCTATCTTCCAAATCTCTTGGCATAGCACACGGCATCCATTTGTCAAAGCATATCAATGGGTATTCCATCAATTCCCGGGGCCTTGTTTTTCACCAATTCCTTCAGTGTGGCTTCAACCTCTTCCTTCAGTACCATTGGTTCATGATCATATGCCACCTCCTGAAATTGATTATCATCTGTCAGTTCTTTTTGGTATAGTGACTCTGTGTATTCCATTCATCTTTTGATGTTTTCTGCATCATTCAACGTATTGCCCGCGAAATCTTTTGAATATTACAATTTTTTCCTCAGTTCTTTCAGCTTGAAAAATGCCAAGCATGTTCTTCCCTTTTAGTTTTCTAACTACAGGTCTTTGCACATTTCATTATAATAGTTGAGTTTGTCTTCTTGAGCTACTCTTTGAAATCATTTGTTTAGCTCTTTTATCTAGTTGATTCTTCCATTTCCTTTAGCTGCTCTCTGTTCAAGGGCAAGTTTCAGAGTCTCTTCTGACATCCATTTTGGTCTTTTCTTCCTTTCCTGTCTTTTTAGTGACCTTCTGCTTTTTTCTTGGATGATGTTCTTGATGTCATCCCACAATTCCTCTGGTGTTTGGTCATTGGTGTACAATGAATGAAATCTATTCTTTATATTGTCTCTAAATTCAAGAGGGATATAATCAAGGTGATATTTTGGCTCTCATGGACTCCTTTTAATTGTCTTCAACTTCATCTTCAACTTGCACATGAGCAGTTGATGGTCTGTT